CCAGTCCAAGGCTTATCGCCTGCAGGAGACTCTTGTGTCTGACTCTGCTGTACAAAAGGCAGCGACACAGAAAATGCGATCCAGGCGCTCTGTCTGACTCGCCCCCCCCTCGCCCTCTCACCCTGCTCCGAGACACCCATGCCCTTCAGCACAGCCCGCCGGCCCGTGGCCTCGATCAGCTCCTGCACCTCCCGCGCGGTCAGCGTGGTGTCCACCAGCACCTCCTCGCGCTGCCGGTCAACCGCCACTGACCGCACCCCTGCAGCACACAACACACAACACACAACACACAGCGCAAACAGGAAGAGAAGCCAGAGCAGGGAGGAGAAAAAGAAACATTAATTTCCACCCCCCGTCAAAACATTTAGCTTTCTTTCCATAAGCAACGGCCTCAAATTGCCCGTGTATGTGTGGCCGCGTGCTCTGCGCCCCCCGGTGGCCTGGCCCCGGCACGGCCTCACCTGGCACCCCCTCCAGCGAGGCCCGGACAGCCCCGGCGCAGCTGTCGCAGCTCATCTGCACCGCGAACTCGAGCTGCCGGGGGGAGAGGCAGGTGATCAGAGAGGCGCTAACATGGCTCAGCAGCTGCCGAGCCGGCTAAGAATAGACCTGAAAACAGCCCCCGCTTCGTGCCTGACACCACAGACACGGGGGAGACCAGCAGCACCCCCACCGTCATCATCCTGACCATCATCATCAGCGTTACAATAATAACCACAGAGGAGACCATCATCATCGGCGTTACAATAATAACCACAGAGGAGACCATCATCATCGGCGTTACAATAATAACCACAGAGGAGACCATCATCATCAGCGTTACAATAATAACCACAGAGGAGACCATCATCATCAGCGTTACAATAATAACCACAGAGGAGACCAACAGCACCACCACCGTCATCATCCTGACCATCATCATCAGAGTTACAATAATAACCACAGAGGAGACCATCATCATCATCACCGTCATCATCCTGACCACCATCATCAGCGTTACAATAATAACCACAGAGGAGACCAACAGTAACATAATCATCAGTACTATGAAGACTACTATCATCGTCGTGAGAAAAACAGAGAAGAAAAATAGTACCATCATCATCTCCTCATTGTAACGATCAACCAAGAAAAAATCCTATCCTCATCATCAACATTCTTCTTCTTAGTAATAACGTCATGATCGTGGCCATGACTGCGACAGCTGTACTCTCTGGTGGACTACGTGGGTCCCTGCCTTCCTGCGTGTGAAAAGGCTTCGAGCTCCAGGAGACCCCCAGCTCGGGGACGGTCTTACTCCGCTGTTGGCGGCGGTGCCAGAGACCTGCCAGGGCAGGCCGGAGCCAGCTTCCGGCACACTGGCGATTGGATAGTTATCCGTTTAGGGAAAACGCGGATTGTACGTCATTTATAATACGCGACGCAGGTTAGATGTCCACAGAGAGGAGTTCCAGGCGAGGGCGCAGGTCAGCACTGTGGCCCTGGGTTCAATACAGGACTGCGGGGGTGCTGTCTGTGTGGAGTTTGCGTGTTTCCCCGCGGGTGCTCCGGTTTCGTCCACCAGTCCAAAGACACGCAGGCGGGTTAACTGCGGGGAGAACTGATTTGTGGGAAAACTGGAGCTGGTGTGAGTGTGCGTGTGTCCGTGTTGATCTAGAAATCTGACACGGAATCGTTCATTTCGACACGGAGAGGGAGCAACG